AACATGTTCTCATAGCAGTGATAGAAAGCATCCATTTCACGGATGTGAGAACTGAGATGTAGTGCTTGTCCACATAAAGAACTGTGAAAATCATGGGGGGCACTTAGAACAGCTATTGGTTGATGGGCAAGCAGTCACTCAAGTTCAGTCAAAACACATGCTTAGTAAACAAATGCTGGTCAAATACAGAATGATTTTCAAAGTAACTGGTTGATGGATGTTAACTAGCCTGATGAGAAAACCACTCTAAAATTAATAGGACATACTCATACATTTGACCTATGGTTTTCAATCAAATGGAAATGTTTATGTTTAATCAAGCAACTTGAATAAAGAATTCTAGAGGAAGCAACACACACAGCTCCTTCCAGAAAAGGAAACAGTGGTGCACTTCACAGAATGGTCTTATGCCCTTGATTCTGACAAGTGGACTGTCTAGTATAGAAAATTGGGTCATGCCACTGAAATCACTTGGAATTTCAATAGAGTCATTTTTATGATAGACATAGTTTATTTGACCAACATTTTCACTCATAAAAATGACAGGAAACAGTACTCTTTGACTTCTGTTTTGACTTTTTTTTTCTACTTTTCTCAATATTGTCTAACAGTAGGTCTTGAACCTAAGAGAATGAAGGGAAAAGAAGAAAAGAGGTTGAAGGAACAGCAAAGCAAACGATCAAACGAGAAACAAGACTTCACTCTCCAGTAAGCTTCGAGGAGGATACACATTTTGGAGAATCTCAAAACTGGGAATATAAAAATATCCCAATATTATAAAACAGAATGCCAAATAGGATCCCGTTTGGGGAAACATATGTACGTGTCTGTGTGTGTGTATGTATGTGTACACACACATACATATATAAAAACCCACTGCCATCGAGTCAATTCTGACACATAACGACCCCCATTGGTTTTCCAAGGCAGTAAATCTTTACGGAAGTAGATTGCCCAGTCTTGCTTCCTTGGAGTGGCTGGTGGGTTTGAACCACCAACCTTCTGGTTAGCAGTCAGATGCCTTAGGCATTGTGCTACTGGAGCTCCAGATGCATATATATATAATACATTATATATATGGTACATAATAACATATGTGTGTGCCTATGTGTATATGTACAGAATTATGTCTAATATACATATGGTATCTATGCAGACATTAATAATGGTTATTTCTTGGTAGCAGGAGTTCAGATGACATATATATGTCTATACACACACACACACACACACACACATTTTAACTTTGTCCTCTATACCATCTACATTGTGTTTTTTTACAAAGCATACATATTGTTTTATTATCATAAAAAGCAACAAATCTCTTTGATTTTGAGAATAAAATTCTCAGTTGCATCAAGCTTAGCAATTGCACACAGAGAACTAAAATATGATCTCTGTCTAATGAAATAAAGAGCTCTAGCATGTTGAGTAAGAATGTAATAGTAGATGTGAAGAGGAAACTCTCCTGTAAGCACCAGTCTAGAGCAGTTGATTGCATTTGTGATGCTTGCCTTGGTTTGTATTATTCAACACAACTTAGATAAAAAATTCAATAATCTTTAAATATCTACACTAGTTCACTAGTTGACTTTCATTTCCCTTCATTGACAAACTCAACTGGCCAAATATTTTAGAGCTTACTGCAACGACGAGTTAACATTTATGGAGTAACAACTATGTACCAGTCACTCTTTTGACTTATCTCATGCTTGCCATAGCCTGTAAGGTCAATACTATTACGGCCCCCATTACGCACATAATGCAGAGAAGTACATGAAGCTAGAATGCCGGGGGAGTAAGCAATATGGAAGCTAAAAACTCTAACAAGGGAAAAAGGTAGGATTTGAACCCAGGGATTCCAACTCTAGTGTCTGTGCTCTTAAGAACTTTGCTACTGATCTGCAAAATCCTGGAGACAGTAAGCATAGAAGAGAATTTCCTTTTGTCTGAAAAGAGATGCAGTCCACACCTAGTAAAGCAAGTACATAAGTACATACAATAAATAAATAATCCAAAGGCAGCCTACTACAGGGGGTGACATTATACTCTGCTGTATTTGAATATGTGAATAGTGGAACACCTCTACATCCTGATAATGGTGATTGAGGCAAGGTACATTAGTTATTTGTGTATTAGTATTTGTACTGTGGGATTTAAGACATTGGCTTGATCAGTCAGCATAACAGACCTCCCCAAACTCAGTGGGTGGTCCAACAGTCATTGCTTCCATGCTCATGGGTCTTCAGTACAACTACAGATTGGCTGAACTAGGCTGAGCTTGGCTGGGCAACTCTGCTTCAAACCGCAGGTCAGGCTGCACTTAGCTGGTGCCACCCCATGTGTTTTTCTGCCCCATGTGTTTATTATGGGACTCAGGCTGAAGGGGTAGCACCTACCCAAGGGTAAGTCTTTTCATGGTCATGGCCGAATTCGAAGAAACAGACTGAATTGCACAAGCACAAATGCCCTTGCCTATGTCATCTTTAGGAGCTCTGGTAGCAGAGTGCCTAAGATACTTGACTGCTAACTAGAAGGCTGGCAGTTCAAA